TTTAATGGAGTACTTTCATTTTAGTCTAACAACAAATTTCGAGTTTATTATAAAAATAACGAGATATTTTAAAAAAAAACTTCGAATTTCGAATTTATTTTCACATATAGAAAAGCAGCCTCAGGGAAATGTCACACGACTAATAAGTACTAATCGCGTTACAACGGATTCACGTGATATAAATTTTATAAAAAAAAACCACATTACTATGTTAAGATTAATTCATTATTCAATTATTATTTAGCAATTCTCAAAAATATCAATATGACTTTACATGAATAATTCTCACATTACTAAAATAATAATAATAATCAAAATTTTCCATAATGATTTTACACGAATAATTAAACACGCATTACCATTAATCAAAATTTTCCATATTTCTAAATAATGATTTTACACGAATAATTAAACACACACCACTAAATAATAATATTAATCAAATTTTCCATATTTCTAAATTGATAATAAATAAATATCTTCTAATAATTTTACATAATCAACATTTTCTTTGATTTCTTTAAATTAATAAATCTCTAAATTCTATAAAATTAAAATGTCTCAACAACTATCTTCTTCTTCCAAAAAGTGTGAAAAAGCTTTTGAAACTGCTTTTAATTTTCTTGAACAAAATAATATACAAGCAGATTATAATGAGTTAAAAGCTTTAAAATCATTGGAAAAAAAAACAATAAAATCATATAGTATTCAAAATTCAATACAAACAAACATTACTAGTTTTTCAGTAAATAATTGACTATAAATTACTATTTAATTTTTTGTAAATTTTACTGTATTATAATCGAGTATTTTTTAATCATTAAAAAATTTTTAAAATTTTCCTGTTGATCCTGTCGATCATTATCTCGTTTCAACGGATTTAGGTGGTCAGTCCCATAGATCCGTTAAAACGAGGTTTGACTGTATTTTTATTCCATATTTTAATTAAATAAAATTAGCGGAACAAAAATATTAATTTAAAAGAAAAGATTAACGCTGGAAAATTATAATAACGACAATTTCAATGATGTTGATGTTGATGAGGGTTTGTTGATGATAACTTTATGAATGAGAGTACTTCTGATATAAGATCTAATAATTCATTTGCTTCGGGTCCTTGCTTTAGGTTTCAGCAATTCATTTACTTTGGACTCCAATGAGGAAAAGAAAAAGGAGGTAGCGCAACGCACTACTTTATGTTGAAAAGATATAAATATATTTGTTTTTGCTTAGGAAGAATTGAAAATATCACGAGATTTTTTAAAAAATTTTCATGGATCGACTATATATATACTAAAATAGTCGATTAAATAGTTGACTAAAATAGTCAACTAATTGACTACTTGGCAAAAATTTGAGTATATAGTTTCTGCGCCCCGTGTTACTAATCCTTGCCGCAGAAAATTTATTGGTTATTTTGTGATCAATTTTCTGAATATTAAAATTTAACACTTATTTTATCTAATCTTCAACTAACCAATGTCAGACGATCCATACTATGTTTTTAAAGAGTAAGATCTGATTTTAATGTATTTTTTATTTGAATTTTTTTAATTAATATCAATTATTAATAAATCTATATACATTTTGCTTTCAGAGAAATAGAATACAACTTCTTGGCAGTGATTACGCTATATGATAGTTGGAATAGAATTTATAATACAGTTTCATCTAGGAATAATGAAGAGTTAAAAAGAACCGAAGAAGAATTAGAACCAATTATTAAATCTATTGAGAGTGACCTTGATGAAATATCTCAGACAATTAATATCCTTTTTTTTCAAAAATAATTTTATAATCAAATTGATATTTATTAATTAAAAAATCCCTGACTACAAATCAACAATATAAATACGAGTGGTTGAGAGTGACCCGGTTAAATATAGTTTCATCACATCAAAAGATATTGAATCACGTCGTGAATTCGTTGAACAAAAGAAAGAAAAATTAAAGGTATTATTCCTAAATAATCTTATGCTTTTTTATTTATTTATCATAATTTTCAGACAAATTTAAAGTATAATTTAGGAAATTCGATCAAACCTAAAAAACCCATCAAGGAAAAAATCAAATTACAAAGAAAATGATAGAGATGTAAGCTCATTAAAAAACTATGATTCATACCATTAGTTGGTTTTTTATTTTTTGGATGCTTTTAATATATATATATATATATATATATATATATGTTATATATAGAAATTAATTGGAAATTTTAAATCAAATGAAATGTTTGGACAATCAAGAGATGAAGAAGTTATTGAGATGGATAATGTCAAGCTTATAGAAAATGAATCGCTCCAGCAAACTGTAAATAATTTATAAAAATTATGAAACAATATATATATACATTTTTTTTTTTCATAAAAACATTATTTATTTGTTTGTTTTATAGTTAATTATGAGAGAACAAGACAAACAATTAGAATCATTGTATGGAACAGCTCGAAATATTCATGAAATAGCTGCGACTATTGGCAATGAACTTGAAGATCAGAAAATGTAAGCAAATATAAGTAATTGTTAATTATTCAAATTAGTTTATTAATTTTAATGTTTATCTATTCATATATATTAGGTTATTTGAAGAGTTTGATGAACAAATAGATCGTAGCCAAAGCAGATTGGGTAGTGCTATGAAAAAAGTGACATATGTTATTAAAAAAAATGAAGGTTTGAACTTTTTTATTTTTGTTAACTTTTATTTTATTTATCAGTTTTTTTTAAAATAACAAAAAAATTTCTTCAATAGAATCAAAATCTACATGTTGCATTGGAATTTTGATGGTTATATTATTTATATTATTGATTTTAGTCATAGTACTTTAAATAAACTAGGAGAGATGAATGGGGAGGAAACTTATTAGAATTTTATTTTATCTTATAAATATAATTAAAATTGTTGATATATAACTATTAGCAATAAATCAGTAATTTATATATACAGTATATATTATGAGTGATTTATAATTATAGCCCAACCATTTATCAATTGTTCATTTTGGATAAGGATACTTGCTGATCATCGATAAAAACTATTATCCAATCACATTCGCTTATTAAATCTTAGCATAACAAACATACTGACTGTTCGCTCCTTCAAAAAGAAAGATGAATCACCCAAGACATGATCATAACTGTTATTTTGTTTAGTCCAATCAAGAAGCTGGTTCAAAGTTAATAACAGACCATATAAAAATCTTAAAGATTCTATATTAATATGAAAAAGGTGAAATAAAGAATCTATCTATACATTTGTTTCTTTGATCCCACTAATTAGCATTTATCAGCTGACTATATATACATGCCTATTTTATTTTTATTTGAAATATTGAAAAAGATAAATTTCTTCACAAGATCACCACGAATACACTGAACCATTACCTTGGCTACGACAGTAAGTCTTTTGAACTTGTTATATTCCTCCGTTCATATTCTTCAGTTCCTAGTCTGTTTGACCTCCCTATTTCCCATCTCCTACGAAAAACCCATCATATCGCGGATTTTTAGCCCTCTGTCGAGATGTCGTCATTTTGATTTCGGATAACTGGAGACGTATTGACGAGTTGGGCTAACTGATTTTTGAAAGCCGTAGAAAAATATTAACAACGACGATATCATAAAAGATTAGCAGGAGACTCTATTGACAGATTATTCAAAAACTATACTACGTTGAGGGGTGTTCTAACAGTCAACGCCATACATCATGGTATGCACTGATAGAACCGTTGACGAGATATATAGTAATATTTTTTATATGTCTAATAATTTTTCTTCGGATTATGATATCTAATGTAGCGAAGTGCCATTCAAATGGTTTCCTTCGTCAACAAGTCAATAACCAAATACAACAAATTCTATTATAACGACAACAACAAATCCAACAAATAATACAACAACAAAAAATCATAAAAATAATAACACTCTTTCTTACCACCCTTAATCCGAACACAATTTTTTTAATAATAATCATTTTTGCTATATTAATAATAGATAATTGATTTATAAATAAGAATGATTCGGGAGTTAACCTCTCACAATCACGAGAGATTTGTAAACCTCATTTTTTGGGAAAAATGCAATGTTTTGCAAAGTCTGTAAATAAATACATAATTTAAATTGTTTAAAGAAATTCTCATTATATAATTTTTTGGCTGCCGATCATTAAAAATCGGGATATTTTATTGGTGAATGATGATAAGATGATGAAAATTTCAAGTCCAATAATTAACACTAAACAATAAACAAAAGTATTTAATGCAAAATCGTGCTTTTTGATACTATAATATGAGAATACTATTTCGACACTACATGCCTCAACTCTGGTATTCGAATGCATTGTGCAAAGCAAATAACGGATAACAACTCGGCATCACATGTCTCAAACCTGGCAATCGAATGCATTGTGCAAAGCAAAATAGAGATTGGTACTACATGCCTCAACGCTAGCATTCGTGGATCAATACATCAGCAAGCTGGGATGTTCCGCATCCAGTTCGAACAAGGAAAATATTTAGCAAGCGATCAAAAGCCAGCCACTACAACGAAAAAACAAACAAATTGAGCGCCAAAATGGTATCAAAAACAAGTAGGTAGCAGTCTAATCATAAGTAGGCAACAATATATATAGTACCTGTTCACCTTTTTGATGATGTTTATATTTAACCAATGCCACAAAAAACAGGTAGCCAAAGATGCCAATTAATTTAAAAAAGCTGTTTTTAATATTAAATAATAAATTTTAGTTGATAATATATAATTTTATAATAGAGAAGCAAGAATATAGAATGGTACTAATTAAATTTCCTAAAATATTCATCCAATTGGTCAACTGATCATTCGGAATATTAATATAAATTTGTAAGACAGTCATTTATCCTGAAGTGGACAATTTTGTAACCGATTCACAATGTTTTCTGATGTTGTTTGATAAACAATATAGTAATAGATGGATTAATATCTACATTTATTTATTATTATTATTATTATTTATTATTCGATGAATGTAATACAATAATAATAACAGTAAATGGATATAAATATGGTCAATATCCGTGATTTGAATAGAGTGGAATTTTTCCTTTCGTTAATTCTCTCATGAAAATGTTCAACTATAATAATAATAAAATTTTTTATTCTGTTTCGATATTTTTATCAGTAGTGATTTTTATTTCATTGACAATATGTCAACTAATCGACCAGAGAGACCTTTTCTCAACAAATAATTTTATAAAAGATAATTTGGTGGAATTTATTGGTGACGCTCATAAAAAATTTGGTAAAGGACACGGTAATAATAGAAAAAATTGTAGAATTTATATGGTCGATGATTGTATAGACGATAACAATGATCATGAGAAAAAATACAGGCTTGATTGTGATGACGCTGAAGATAAAGCAATTAGTCGATACGAAGATGTAAACTTTGATTTTTATGATGATGATGACGACGATGACAACGACGATAATGAAGACTCTATTAAAATTTTAAGACACGATAATTTCCCAAATTATCAAGTCAGATTAAATGAAATGAGGGAACCAAAACTTTGCGATACAAGTGTAAAACAGGTAAAAATTCGGGAACTATAATAAGAGAAATCTTTATTATCATTTATTAATTTAATCTTTTTGATTTTTAGTATTCTGGATATTTGGATGCTCCTGATGATAAGCATTTCTTTTTCTGGTTCTTTGAATCAAGGAATAATCCATCTGAAGATCCTATAGTTCTTTGGGTAAATTTTTAATTCACATTATTAGAATTTGTTTTTATTTTTTTCAAACTATTTATTTACATATATATATAATACTGTGTACATAATTAATCACAGCTTAATGGAGGTCCAGGGTAAGTTGATTAATAATAATTTTTAAAAAAATCTTTAATCATCATCATCATAGTAACAATATTTCTTTATTGCTATATATTATTATTATTTTATAGATGTTCTTCTTTGACTGGGTTATTCTTAGAACTTGGTCCTTGTAGTATTAATGAGGATGGATCTGACACCGTATATAATCCTCATTCATGGACAAATAATGCCAGTGTTATATTTTTGGATCAGGTAAAATTACTATAAAGTTACAATTATTCAAAATAATTTAAAATAATTAATTCATAAAATATTTCTTCCTCCTTTTATTTTTTTTTTATTTTTTTTTTTAATACATAATTAACTTTAGCCAACAAATGTTGGTTATTCTTATGGAGATAGCGTTTCAAATACGCTTGCTGCAGCAACTGATGTATATGCATTTTTGCAAATCTTCTTTAAAGAGCTTGAGCAGTATGCTAAATTGGATTTCCACATTGCCGGTGAATCGTAAGAATATATATATAATTTTCTATCTGTATATTAATTAAAAAAAATAAATAAATAATAATAATCTCGATTTTTAGATATGCTGGTCATTACATACCAGTACTTGCATCAGAAATTAATAAAAACAACAAAAAGTTAAGAGATCACCTACCAATAAATCTTAGCACTGTTATGATCGGTAATGGCCTTGTAGATCCATTAACCCAGTACAAGTATTATCCTGACATAGCATGTAATTCAAGTTATGGTCCGGTATTAGATCAAGGGACGTGCGATGGTATGAGAAATGCCTACGCGAATTGTGCTTCTATGATCAAAAGATGTTACGACTCGCAAAATGTATTCGTCTGTTTACCTGCCTCTCTTTATTGCAATCGTCAAATCGTCCAGCCATTCTTTAAGTCTGGCAAAAATCCATATGACATTAGAAAAGATTGCGAGAATGATAATAATAATTTGTGTTATCCAATCTTGGATGTTATTGAGTCATATTTAGATCGAGAAGATGTTAAAACTGAGTTAGGAGTGGACCCAGGAATAGAATTTAAAACTTGTAACATGAGAGTCAATTTCCAATTCCAAATGGCAGGTGATTGGTATGTATAATATCTATTATTCGTTTGTTTGTTTGTTTTTAGTGTTTTTCCATCAAAAATTATAATTATAATTAAATAATATGTAGGATGAAACCATATCACAAGTTAATACCTGGGCTATTAGATGATGATATCCGTGTTCTGATTTATGCTGGCGATGCTGATTACATGTGTAATTGGATTGGCAATGATGCCTGGGTCAAGGAATTGGAATGGTCAGGAAAAGAAAGTTACAATTTAGCCAATGAGACATCATGGATTGTCAAGAGTACTTTAGACAAGGCCGGTACTATTAAACATCATAAAGGACTCGCCTTCTTGAGAATCTACGAAGCTGGTCACATGGTCCCATATGATCAACCAATAAATAGTTTAGATTTCTTTAATAGGTGGCTATGGAAAGACTTGTAATAGAAAATCTTCTGTTGAATTATTATTTATTATTTGTTTAACTATTTTTTTCTTTTGAAAGATAGTTATTCTGTTGTTTATTTAAAGAAAAAACCAAATTGTATATTTTTTAAATTAATAATATAGTTAAATATATGTGTGTATATATATATATTTTTAATTATTTTCAGATTTTAAATTTCTCAACATTTCTTATTTTTAATTCTGATAGATAACGCAGATTGTAATTTAATCATCATCGTTACAATTCTTTAATTTAAATTGAGAGAATATTTGTTTACCTTGATTTATAATTAAAAAAAATCTTTTGATTTAAAATGTGCATCATTGTATGTGAATCACTCACAGTGAAAATTAACAATTTAACGATCCGTCTATGAACGAGAGAACTTGCACTAATTTTTACCATGATAATATTGATAATATTTGATAAAAAGTATTTTTCCCCCGCTGATTACTATGAAATATGTTGATCATCAACTATAAGAATTTAATGACCTCTTCAAATAAATACACAGTCAACATTAAGATCGTAAGTAAACCATGAAAGAAGATTTTTTAGCAAATTGACCATTGTTTCTAACAATAATTCACGAACTTCACCAGTAGCAGATGAAGTATCAATTATCTTAATCACGATTTGGTGATGTTGAGATGCTGGAATCAAGTTACAGAACATTACCAAAATCAGGATTAGCAAATACTTTGTTGGATGCAAGGGATAGACTTTGATGCGGTGCCAATTGATAAATAAGTTAAGATATGGACAAGGTGTTCCAAAAACTGTTGAGATAAAGCGAAGTATCAATGATAACAGTATCATGTTATCTGTATGTGCCAACCTAATTCTAAATAAATTACCATTTTAATATTTTATAAACAAATAAACATGCTATTGAAAATTAAAAATAAAAAATAAAATTACTTGAAAGAGATATTTGCACAGTTCATCAATAGCAAGATTGCGTAAAACTTCAAATCAGCCTATCGCTTGACCACTAGCATCAAATGCCATGGATCGCATAATACCAGTGTGTTGATGATCATGAGGATTGTAATAGGGGAGATATAAGAACACGAAGTAATTCATGTATTGACGGTACTACAAATGGTTTTGGATCTAAGTGAGATATAAAAAAAAGTCATTAGAATAAAATTATTAATTATTATTATTATAAAAATGTGTTCTTTCTTCATTTGGAAGGTCTAATAATTTGTTGCAGACTAGTCGTGTTTTGTATTTATTATTTAGTTTGATGGTACGAAATATAAACACAACATTAAGGCTTTACAGTTGAAAATAGAATAAATACCGGTTGATGACGATTCTCCCTCTTGGTTAAATCAAAAAATAATCCTTTGTTCATTTGAGGAAACTTCTGTTTGTCTAATATGGTTTCCAAATATGTAAATTGATTAGCTCAAGAGTATTATTTTACTATAAATTTATAGTCTTTATTTTTGCTGTTTTCTTGTCTTGTCATAAGATTTCTTTCTTTTCTTTCCTTTGAATTTTGCCGTTTTCATGGTTTTCTAATTTCAATATGATTTTTCTTTATTCCATGACGATTAATCATTCAATTCATCATTTGTGATCGTTAGCAATTTCACAACAACATTATCGAAAAATGTTCATGATCCAGCATACAGCGTGCTTCATCAAATACAAATTGAACCCCTTCCATTGCAGCAATTCGTTCTATCGTTTTTCTAAATTATATATTAAGGACAAACTTATCTGGAGGCAAGAAATAATTCTTGTCACTTTGATGCAATTTCAGCAGCTGCCTTTTCTTGATATAAATGTGAATTTTCAGTTGCAGCACAAGATATTCCAGTATGTATATTAATTCAATCATTTGGTCATCTATAAGAGCTTTTAACGGATTGGAAACTAAGGTGGGCCCCTTTTTTAACAAAGATGGGATTGAATAGTATGTTGATTTTCTCCGACTGTTGGCATTAGAATTAATGTATCTTTATACATTATTAATTTCCTGTAAAAATTTATTTGCTTACTTGAGACTTTTAAATATTCAATGCTATTACTATTACTATTAGTAGTAAGGTTCGACAATTCCTCCACATTATATCATTTACTCTCTTGATTTGCCTATTATGTCCTAATCCAACTATTTCAACCGTTTAATTCATTTTAACTATTTTAACTACAGATATGGCTCAAATTTACTCTTACTCTCTTTTATATTGCAAGAAAAAGTTTAATAATCTAGAAAACAGGGCATGACACCACATGCGGACAATTTCTGAAACGTTACACCTGTATCCCCGTGAATATAGGGATACAGCTTTATCGGAATGCAAAAGAGTACAATACTGAATGTCTATGACATTAAATAGTGAAAAAACATGAGGAATTATCCAAAAATGATTTCCAAGTATACATGCTATATAAAATGGTTGGCAGAAAGCTTGCCTACTTTGCTCTTCAATTGACATTTTAAAATTAATTTTGCATAGAATAAATATTTTATTGTGTATTAGGGATGTGGAATATTTTTTTGTCAATCTTTTAATATACAGTCAGCGCTCGATATAAGAAAGAATTGGTTTTGACAAAAAACTTCACTATATAGTGTGATTCACTATATAAAAAGATTGGCAAAATTTTACAAAAATCCCGTGATACAACTTTATTAAAAAAAAATTATAAAAATACATAAAAAAGAAAAATAAATAAATAATATATAGATAATTTCATAAAAATATTTATTTAGTAATCCAACTATCCAGTGTGCTTTGTTTTTTTTAGAAGCAGTATGTTTGGATATGTGGTTTTTAATTGCTTTTATTGAATTAATGTGTTTAAATTCAAAAGTAAGATTTTCAGGTGGATCTTGAATATATGAAAGGACAATGTTTAAAGATTCTAACACCTCTTTTGTAGTAATTCTTTGATTAACAATTGATAATTCATCTCCTGACTCAGACTCAGCTGTTGGTCTTACATGACTAATAATATCTTCATCAGTAATTTCAACATTTCCAAACTCTTGGATTTCATTATCAATTCTAATAAAATCCTCTGCACTCAATCTATCAGAAGCTTCAATATTTCTTAGTCCATTAATTAGGCTCTGAAGTTCATGATATTCTTCTTGAATGAGTTGATCACTTGTACCACTTGTTTCTATTTCCATGGCATCATCTAAAGTATGTAAAATTCCTGTCTTTAACCAACAGTTTCTAATAGTTTCAGAAGTTACTTCATTCCAAGCTTTAGCACAAAGTTCAATTGCATCAGAGATTTTAAATTGTTCAAGAGGCATATCAAGGCTTTGGTGTAAATCGTAAGCATCAGTTCTGTTACTTACAAGAAATTTTCTATAATGAGCCTGGAAAAAATGATAGTTAGAATAAATATTAAGCAAGTAAAATATTTATCATTATAATACTTTACTTTAAAGGAATTTATAATTCCTGCATCAGCAGGTTGTAGATGGGCAGTTGTATTAGGAGGAAGGTGATGAAGCATGATATTTGTTAAAATGGTTGCTTGATCAAGAATGTGTACTGGTGCATTATCAAACAATAATAAAATATTTTTATTTTCCCTGGCCATTTTCTGGTTCAACTTTATCAAATATTGATTCCAAATAGAAACCTGCATCCAGGCTTTTGTGTTCCAATAGTAATCAACTGGAAGCTTTGACTTGTCAACTCCAAGCATGTCTCTTGGTGTTTGATACTTATGAATAAATAAAAGAGGAAGTTTTTCAGTTCCTGTTGCATTCATAGTCAGTAAAAAGGTTATTCTTTTTTTCGATTTTTTAATACCAGAAAGAGGACCAGTTGATAATGTCTTTGAAGGTTCTAAATCCCAGAGCAAGCCTAATAAAATAAATACTTAGTTAGTCTATTATAAATGATATAATAATAATTATACTGAATTATTTTGCCAGTTTCATCACAATTATAAACATCTTCTAAAGGAAATTCTTTAATTATTTCTAGAAGGTGCAGAGCTTGCTTCACCATGCATAACATACTGCTTTATGTTATTTCTTTTCTTAAAATTCAACACCCAACCATCTGAACCTTTAAAGTCATTGATATTAATATCTAGTAATTCAGCAAATCTTTTAGCTTAGTGAGAATTATATCACCTGTAATTACTCTTTTATCTGAAATTGCTTGATTGAACCATATCATCAATGCACTTTCAAGATCAGGATATTTTGCAGCTTTATCTTTTTGTCTGTTGGTATCATTAGTAAGGTTTCTGGTCGAAACTGCTTCTATTAGTAGCCGAAATTGCCCAAATACTTTGGACAAAAATTATTTTTTTATAAGCCCAAACTACTTTTTGTTATTAGCCGAAATTGGGCGAAATTATTTTAAAGTTGTTTAAGTTAAAACAAGTTGATTCATATAGTTTTTTAATGTTCATGCTTATAGAAAATGTTGAGAAGCCCAAATTTCCCAAACTAGTTTGGGCTTTGAGAAAACAGTTTGGACCAGAAACCTTAATCATTAGGGTTGATAGATAACCATTTATCTGTATCTTTTAAAATCTTGCAAACAGTAGGTTCTGCAATTCCAAATTTTTGACCAAGTTCTTTATATGTGATTGATGGATTTCTTTCACAAAGTTGTTTTTTTTTCACCCCAAGTCAAAATTTTTCTTTTTTTATTTGATTGATCAATTGATGACATTTTTATTTTTTTTTTATTAAAATTTGAGAAAATAATTTTTAGCTGAAATGATTTTTTAATAAATTATTACAAACAAAAGTACAATTCCTAGTTCTTTTATTTACAAGAAAATTATTTTAAACTTTTTGTGGCACATTACTAAATTCAATTTATTTCTCGCGAGACATTACTAAATTGTTTTTTCGCGACACATTACTAAATTCAATTACCTTATTTTTCGTGAGACATTACTAAATTCAATTATTTTATTTCCCGTGAGACATTAGGGGTGTTCAAAGTTGTTCCGTTCCTGTTCCTGTTCCTTGTTGTACAATACCTTATTAGGTAATGGAAATAAGGATCAACTTTGAGCAGAAATTTCCTAGTTGTTTCCATAACTTCTATATTTGGGACTGAACTACACGCATTTTTTTAAAATATGTCAACTTGTGAAAGGATTGAAGAGGCATTGTTTCTAAATCTATTCCAAGAAACAACTGAATTGGATGAATTTGATGAAAGTTTTGTTGTTACACATCATTATTATTAGTAGAAGTTACTGAACTGGATAAATGCTTTGTTGTTGTTGCATGTCATTAGTAGAAGCTACTCTTTGAACTGGACGAGGCTGTTGTACATTATTAGTAGAAGCTATTTCATGATATTCTCGTTTTCTTGTTTTTATTTTTTTATTTTTATTTTTTATTTTTATTTTTTATTTTTTATTTTTTATTTTTTTTTTATTTTTTTATTTTTTTTTTATTTTTTATTTTTTATTTTTTTTTTTTATTTTTTATTTTTTATTTTTTTTTTATTTTTTTATTTTTTTTTTATTTTTTATTTTTTATTTTTTTTTTTATTTTTTTTTTTTTAAAATCGTTTCCAAATTTGGAAGTGGAAACAAGGAGAAACAACAAATTTGTTCCGTTTCCTGTTCCTTCTGATCAGTCAATAAAATTTAATTTTGACTGTGTAACAAGGAACAGGAAACAGGAACGGAACAACTTTGAACACCCCTATTACTAAATTGTTTTTTCGCGACACATTACCTTATTTTTCGCGAGACATTACTAAATTCAATTATTTTATTTCCCGTGAGACATTACTAAATTAAATTATTTTATTTTTCGCAAGATATTACTAAATTCAATTATTTTATTTTTCGCAAGATATTACTAAATTCAATTGCTTTATTTTTCGCGACACATTACTAAATTCAATTATTTTTATTTTCCAATATTATTACTAAATTTAAAATTTTTTTTGCGACAAACTACCAAATTCATATTAATGTTAATATTAATGATGTCAATGAAAAATTTTTTGCGACAAATTACTAAATTCAAATTTATTATTTAATACAATTAATATTAATATTAAGTAATGATCGACAAAATTTTAATAAAGACTTTACTATATCGAGCTCTAGTTAATATAATGGGTACCAAGTAAAACTTCATTATATATATCGAGAGTTTATATTAAAAATCACTATATCGAGCAGAATTTATATGTAATGAAATGGGAAATTTTCCAACTTTGCTATATCGTGTGATTTACTATATAGTAGGTACACTATATCGAGCGCCGACTGTACACAGTGAGTCTCGGTATAGCGGACCAGATTTGGGGGTTTAGCGGATAAAATTTCAAACCCAAATTTTTCTATAACAATTTTATAAATTCGGTTTACCGGATATTTTTTATATGTCACTTGTAATAAATTTTTTTTGATATACGTATAACAATGATCCTTACTATTTTGGGCTAATAAAAGTAATGACGCGCAATTATTAAATATTAATATTAAGAACGTAAATATTACTATTTTAATAATTAATTTCCGCTTTTTATTCTTTGCTAAATTACTATGCAATTACAAACTATCGAAAAAGCGGACAAGGATTTTAAAAAAAGTAGTAATTAGAAATAAATTGTAATAATCAGCAATACATCCACAATTTAATCTAACATATTTCTAGCTATTTCTTGGCAATGACACCATCAATATATGCTAAAATCGTAAATATTGTAAAAGGACAAAGTGAAGTTGATAACGATGAAACAAATGAAACAAATGAACCTGAGATGATGGTCATTAATATGAAAGCTATAAAAGCTCCGGAAACTATACTTAATATGTAAAGCAAGAAATTTTATATATTGATTTTCAAGTAATTAGAAATGTCAAAAGAATAAAAAGTGAAATTTCTTGCAAAAATTCTCAAGAACAAGCGCAAACAAGAATGGAAGATCATTATAATGTCAACGTTTTAAGTGAATGAATTGTTTTTTTTTTTAATTTTTTACCAACTGTATTTTTATTATCATCATTATTATTTGCATTCATATTATTAAAAATAAAAATTTTTTACGTAACATGTATCACATGATTTAGTCAAAAATTCGATTTTTTATGGATATCTCGGTGTTACGGATGACTCAGTATAGCGGATAAATTTACTGTAACAAACATATCCCGTTATACCGAGCGAGACTCGCTGTATTTTTTTTTCAAAAAAATTTTATATATTATTCTCAGAGCCCGATTTTTCTGGAAAACCCCCCATTTAATATGCATGATTTTTAACAAGAATCTAAACCATGTGTAGTTAATCCAATTTTGATATCCTGTATATAATCGCACAAATATATCAACTGACCTCTTACACGTTCTAATAATAGCTAAATTAGCTCGATTGTACATGAGAACACAAAAAGTAGCATGTTTAAACACTATTATTCTATGACTTTTCTTAGTTGGCGGGAATTAAAAGATGTAGATCATTAACAAATTTAGGTACTATGACTGAAATAAATGAAATTCAGAGTCAACTTTATTACAAATAAACTCGTAAAACGACCACCGGTTCTAGAAACAAGAATATCTGGTAAAATTTGAGATATAGTAATTATGTGGTGTGTCCCATGTTTTACATGTTTTTATAATAGGTCCTTTTTTCGATTTTAAAATACTTTATACATATAAATTGTAGAAATATCAATACCGTAAAGTCTGGAAAGATAGCACCCCCTACTTTAAAACAATTGAGCGTCAATATAAAAAAAAATGTTACACATATGTAAAAAGGGGATGCTATCTTTCCAGACTTTACGGTAGTAATCGTGACTTGCAAATCTATCCATAAAAGGATTTTTAACCATGCTGTAAAATCCTGATCATTTGCTATTTTAAACATTCAAAAAAATGGTATTAAAGTTGAAAAGAGAAATTTCTTATATATAGGAATATCCAAGAAAAAGACAACCTCGAATTGATGAATTTATAAGTCATTCACTGTGTACTAACATTGACCAATGAAATTAATTGGTCCACGATTTATCTTATTGTCTGTGTCGATTTGTAAAATAAAGGCTCTTCTTGTGTTTTGAAAATGATTTGGCTATTTTTTACAATTAAACTTCTGGCTGATTTTTGAAGATAATGATTATGGTCAATATATATTTTGTTTAAAATCTTACAAAACAATTCATCGATACATATTAAAGACGAAGAAAGAAAAAAAGGAAAAAAGCGTGACGGTCACCGACCGACACCAATAACATTAATATTAATATTAATAATATGAAATAAAGTTCCATCTATAACTTATTCATAATGGATTATCATATATTTTTTAGCTATATATTTTTGATTTGTTATTTAACGAAAAATAATCAGTCAACACTTCAATAATTGTTAAATATAAAAATGTTCATAATTTATTATTATCGTCATTATAAAAATCTACTTTAGTTGCAATTGGTATTTCATGAAGTTCTACTTTTGTTAAGGTTTCGCTGTTTATACCATCGTCATCACCGTCGCCATCACCATCACCACCACCATCACCACCACCATCATTGTTATTGTTATTGTCTTCACTACGGTTATTTTCGTTACTACTACCATCCATCGTACCTTTTAATGAAAAAGAGTTGAACTCTTCTTTAAATGCTTCTTGGAAGTGATACATGCAGGCATTCGCGATACCGCCTGAATTTATTGTTACGCCTAAATATTGTATATATTCATGTTAAATACGTGAATATATTAAGCAAGCATATTTAGATTTGATTATTCACCTATTAAAATGTAAAGCCAAGTCGGTGTGGTCGGCGAGAACAAGATATAAACAAATCTTGATAAAGAAGGAGCCCATCTAGAAAACGATATATTATATGTAAATGAAAATATAGTTTCTTTTTAAATTTTTAATTCACTTGTTTCAATCACTTACTGAAAAATCAAAATTAAAATATATCCAGCTATTTTTTTGTATACACGTGTACGTATGTTTCCTTGCTTTTTACCGTTTAATGTTTGTCGATCAATTTTTTTGACTTTATAAAGTATACTTCCATAACAAAACGTTATTATGACCACAGTTGACGTCAATAGTATTAACGTGCCTTGCAAGTCTCTAGACCCACACCTAATTGATTAATTAGCGTTGTTATTTCGTGAATTACGGTGGCGAAACAACAACAACAATGATGATTATGATGATGATGAATTACCAGAATTCGTCAGATCCAGACCTTTCGATACTTGGTGACGTAGAAATAAGACTTATTATTATGACAGGTGATAATAATTTCCAATCGTATTTCCCTAAACCTGGGTGCTTATTTAAACATACCCTTTGAAAGTTTATAAGAATAAAAATGATGTTATGTAACGAAAATGTATTTGAAAGATTACAATTCAATGCATAAAACTCGATTTACCTTATAAATGTGTTTATTGAAATACAGGCTCCCAACAAAACGTTTGCCAGTACAATTAATATTACAAACACTCCAGTAATTCTACATTGAAGTTCCGGTAAAAGTTTGCCATGCGTTGCTAAATAATACTTTTTTTAAAAAAATTTAAAAAAATAAAAAAATGTTATTATGGTATTTGGTTTGGTTGGTTGATTAAAAATTAGACAGTATATGTAATTTTATTACAAATTCTGGGAGCTCGCTTAATGTTATTAAGGAGTCGCTGCATGCGATATAAAATGGAACTTTTAAAACCATTGGGAGTGATCCAATTCTTCTCCAGTATATGAAAGTCCAATAAAATATGTAACAACAACCTGATGGTAAATAAATTTCATACAATGAATTAAAAATAAAACGAAACCATTTCAAAATTAATTGATTCGATTTAAAAAATTTACCTATTAAGTTTAAATGCAAAGTGATCAAAGTGAATGTTAAGAAAACGTAATATCCCACACGATCGTTATTTGGATATCTGTAATCTTCGGTTTTTTGACTTTCATCTTGTGAAAAAACAAAATTTATATTATAAAGGAACGACAAAGAAATAAAAAAAAATCTTCTCATTTTTATCTAACTCATTTAAAAAAAGACCGACGAAAAAACATCCTTTTTATATTTGCAAAAATTGAACTTAATTTTGGTAACCAATGAAAATGGTGTGAAACTATTTATTTTCTTTCTATTATTTATTAATAACAGAAAAAAAAAAAAAGAGAGGATGAGCATTGACCTCAAACGTTGTGCATCCATCGTAGATCATCGGTATTTAAAGCCAGTATATTAATATAGGACATTTTTCTTCGTGGTTTATTGGTTCGTATCATGTAAATAAATATTTTATTACATGTATCTCATTCAAAAATTTATTTATTATTATTGGTTTGAGTTTTTTTAAATCTGGGTTGTTTTTATTGTTAGACAGCATCATAGCTTTACTTAATAAAGCTTAGTTACACAATTATTTTTCGGCGATTTTTTCATATATATATACAAAAAAATTGGTACCGCGTGACACAACATTTTTTATTATCTAATTTTTGTGAAATAACGATCGACTGGTAGCATTAATGAATATATTTGCTAACATTGTTTGTTCTAGTACATAATGATTAATAATCATTATGTTAACGATGTACAAATGCATACAAAGTTTTATCTTGATAAGAAATTTATCTATTATGATTCAAACCTTAATCTCTAGAAATTTTTTACTAAAAAATTAACAAGAGCTAAACGAATTTCAGCTGAAATTATCAAAATTATGGACAATTTAATAATATTCTTTATCTCTTGAAAAATATAAAATAGAAAGTATTATCTTTTTACGTGTATTGAAACTTTTTTAATCTAATCGGTTTTTTTTCCTTTTTTTTAATAATAAAACAAAAATGTCCTGTCTATTTCAAGATATTTCTGTTTGCATTAAATACTATACATTATTCCTTTGGTTTGCTACAATAAATTATAATTTAATGGCAAAAAAAATTATTGTTATTAGCAATTAACTTATTTCAGTATTATATCGATTCAATCTACTCAAAAATAAAAGAACATTCGGTGATATTATAAACAATATCGATCATTAAGGTGCAAAATAAAAAATTATAAATCTATTCTATAATAGAAAATAGCACAATAGAAATGGTATAATTATTATATGTATCTTACAGATAATCATGTATTAGTGTTAGCTTATTAGATTTATAAACGTAAACTCCTACATAGTGACTGATTTGCTCAGTAACTTTTAATACTACTATTTTGCTATTAAATTGCAATTTTTTAAAAATATCCCCATATCAATGATAATATTAAAAATGGTCGTAACGAATTTATTAATCTGCAATGAACAGTAAGTAAAGAATCCACAATTATTTTAACATTAATAACTGATGATTTTAGGAAACGTATAAGCATTGTCCACGCCGATCACTTTTGCCAAGAAAAAAAAAATTGAATTTCAATGCTTTGATACAATACGTCATTATACATAATATATTACTATGTCTCGCAATTCTAAGAAAAAACTCTAGGCATATTTACTATGAACTCAAAACAGTATATGCAATATCAAAACTGGGTAAATATGATCACATTATTCATGAAGGTCATATAACTATTATAAATAAGAAGACACAAGATGTAAATGAGGTATTTGATTATGTAGATATCTCAAAGCGAATAATCTCGATTCAAATATTCTCAGCATGTAGAGAAAAATTATCGGAAAAAACTATATATATATATTTATTCGACATCAGATGATATAGTTGAACTATCTTCTTCTAAATTTCTACTTGATCTACGTGGGCGTGTACTACGTAATAAGGACATATTAACTATTAAGATATTCCGTAAAATTAGCAAAGTATTTATGAATTCCTCTAGAATAGAAGGATCGTTTGAATATCTGATCGATATTTCAGATTCCCGCAAATTATAATAACGATGCACCTCGACCGAATCTCTGATAAGAACATTCAAACGTAATTTACAACCCGACACTTGTACTCCAACAATGCCAAACTGGCTATTTTCTACCCTACGGCCTTTAAGTGCCCAATACATTCCATCATTCGTTTCGCGCCATAATTTCATACTATCAGCTTCCTCTTTTTGTATGGTACAGATAATTCGCAAACATTCCGCATACATAAGTTCATATAATTTATTGCTTTCCTTAGAGATAAGCATACATCAGGAAAATAAATCTCACGTAAACCTAAAACTGACCAGCATTATGCGGAAATGTTAACAGAATTACCAAAATATCGACATAATGCTGGCCAATTCTGAACCC